AATTCTTTCAACTATTATTATTTCTTTGTTTTACAAATATTTTAGGATGCTTTCTATATGGCAGGTTCTTTTCTGGGCATGAAGGGACATGATCCTGTACAATAAAAATGATTCTGACTCCAAGAACTTTACAGTCAAGGTGGAGGCCTTTTCATGGAAGTCCCATAGAGTGAGCATTTCTTGTTATTTGACCCATGATCTATCCTCTCCCATCTTAAGTCAAAGCAAAAACAAATCCTGGACTCCACATTTCCCTCTGGCCTGGCATACTTTCTCATCTGTCAAGCTTCTCAAATTAGTGTCCTGCCAGCAAGTGTTTATTGGACACCTATTACCTGCCAGGCATGGTCAGCAGTGAACACAAAGCACAAATTTCTACTTTCAGTTAGTTTATCTTCTTGTGGGGGACACAGACAATAAACAGATAGACCAACATACAAAATCTAATGCCAGCAATATTAATAGATAGTGTGAAGTTAGATGGAGCAAGGTGGGAGGCCTAGATGGGTAGGGGTGGGGCTGTGCTAGTTAAATGGGGTGACCAGGACAGTCTTCTCTGAGGATGTGACATTTGACTTGAAGGGAGTGACACGATCTGACAAGGTCCAGGAATACGATTCCTGTGGAAGGACAAGAAGGCTCTGGTGGCTGCAGGACCAAGGCAGAAAGAGGATGAAGCTGGAGAGTCAGGGCAGAGCTGAGGGTAGCCATACAGCCACTGTGCCCCCAACTAGCCTGGTGAAATTACTAACGATGCCTCCATTTACTCTCAAAGATGTCCAGGGTTTAGATGATAAGTTACAAAGGCACCCTACTCCACACAGGCATGGGGAGCGGGTGGCTGTCATCCCAAATCTGATGCAAAGCCTGAGAACCATTTTGAACAGGAAGGGCAGACTCTGCCTCTCAGGTTAAAGGTCCTGACTGAAGTCCTTGAAAGGCTTTTAGCTCCCACCTTGCCCCAGCCTGCCTCTCTTCTGCCTCCCTGGTGATCCTCTCGGTCCACTCTAGCAGCTCTTTCTGTTCTATTCAACCCTGAAATCTTTCAGTTTCTCAAGGTCAGTGCTTCTCACTGGGGGCAATTTCCCCTCCCAGGGCCATTTGATGTTAGATGAAGGTATTGTAGAGGGTTACCCTGTGGGGGGTACTGCTTGCATCTAGCCAGAACGCTGCTGAGCATTCTGCAGCTCACAGAGCAGGCCTGCGCAATAATTATCCAGCCCAAAGTGTCAGTAATGTCAAGGTTGGAAAACCATGCACTGAATTAGCACTACCCAATAAGAATATCGTGGCAGTTGCATAGTCAATGAAAATTGTTCTAGTGGCTATGCTGTAGGGGTTAAAAAAAGAAAAAGAGGAGCTCAGGGGTGACTCAGTGGTGGAGCTCTTGCTTAGCATGCACAAGTCCTTGAGCTCAATCTTCTGGCATAAAAAAAATTGACTTGAAAAGAATCAACTTCTTTTGAGGTCTGAAAGTACAGGTACAAATTCCCTATAATGAAGATAATAATTGAAAGGATTGGGGCTGGGGATTTAGCTCAGCGGCATAAGTGCCTGCCTTGCAAGCAGGCAGTCCCATGAGTTCAATCCCCGGTACCGATAAAAAAGAAAAAGAAAAAAAAAAAAAAAAAAAAAAGAAAGGATTTTTGCCCTAGATAGGACACTACAGCAGTGGGAGGTGGGACCAAGGGACATTTACCTTGAGGTCACTTTCCCCACCCCTATGCAATTTACCTGTGGTGCTAAAGAGTCCCAATCCGGCTACTTGCGCATCAGCAATGCCACCTTTAAGCACCACCTCAGTTGGAAACTATATATATGTATGCCCCCCATACCACGTTTACCGCAGAAAAAGCCAGATCCTCGGCAGTCATGGAGTTTCTCTCAACATTCTTAGAATAAAGGCCATTTTTACTTTATATTTTCTCTTTTAAAGTGCCCAAAATCCTATCAATAATTACGTATGCCTAAAATGTACCAATAAATTTTATTTCAAAAGTTTTTTTTACCAATATATTCGATCTGTTCTAATCTGTCTAAAATGTATCAAGGAGATACTTCACTTTTTAAAATTCTACTGTGTGTTTCACCCATACTACACTCAGCAATTTAGGCCAGGCCCATTTCAAGTGTTTAACACATATATGGTTCAAGGCCCTCAGACTGACGGCGTGGCTCTAGGCTTAGTGTTAGATCATGTAGCTTAACCGTTAAGAGGTCTATAAGGTGAATAAGACAGGCTAATAGGGTGGCTCTGGGATCAAACTCCCTTGTTGGCTTTGGCTCTTCCACTTAAAAACTGTTGACCTTAGGCCGAATGTTCCACCTTTCTGTCTCCTTATTTGTAAAGTGGGGATAATACTTTTACTACTCTGTAGGCTGCTGGGGACGAAATGAGTTAATATTTACTGAACACTCAGGGCCTTTTCTGGTATTACAGTAAGTGCTCCATGAATGTTAGATATTTAGTTGGGTACCCTAGCCTTATTTTCTGGATGATCTCATCTGCTCCTGTGGCGTCAAATGCCATCCATTACCAAATGACTTCCACATTTAAGAAATTGGTTTACACTTCTTTCCTGAATTCCAGACCCCCTATTTCTTCTTTTTCTTTCTTTCTTTCTTTCTTTCTTTTTTTTTTTTTTTTGTTAAACAAGGAATTGAAGTGAGGATCTCAGGCTTGTCAGGCAGGCACTGTGCCACTGAGCTAAATCCATGACCCCCAGACCCTCTGTTTAACTGTGTGCTACATTTGATGAGCTGGGACATCTCACAGGACTGTGTCCACTACAGAGCCCACTGCAATCTCTGCCAATCCTTGCTACCTCAGCCAGTCACACAGTCCTTGCTTTCTGCCTTTCCAGGGAATACAGAGCCTATAGAGTGTACACTTGCTGTCCTGATGGAGGACTCTACTGCACCAGTCTGCGCACACAGAGATCACAGAATGCCAAGGGCATTTGGGAGAAGCATTCATAGCTGTAGCTGGGGTGATCAGCAGTGCCTTCTGATGGGAACTTCTCACACCTGTTGTGTACCAGTGTGTTTCTGCAGGTTAGGCCTGTGTGTGTTTGCGTACCTTGCCACGTGTGGGTCCATGTGGTACTGCCCTGATTACTTTTCTCTTGTTGCTGAGGAAAAATATTTGACATCCAAAATTAGGGAAGAAAAGGTTTATTTAACTTACAGTTTTTGAACATTTCAGTCTGTACTCAGCTGGCTCCAAGGCAGGGTGGTGTAGCTAAGGGACAGCAGTGCTTGGCAGCCACAAATGACAACCGCAAATGGTAAAAAAAAAAAAAAAAAAAAAACCACCAGAAACTGTGCAGGTATGTTGTACCCCTGGGCGGGTATAACACTCATACCACCCATCCCAGTGCTAGATAATGAACCAATCAAAAAAGCTGGAGTCAGCTGCTTCGACGACTGCATGAGGCTTTGGGGGAGCCACCTGACACAAACCATAATAGGCAGGAAGCACAGGCATGTTCCTTTCCACCAGGTAATCAAGCGTCCCCAAGCAGTTCTTGCTATGGGTGAAAGTTGTCCTCACTCCCACATGTCCCTCTCTCCCACATGAAAGGGAAGCATCCTTCGGTGCTCGCCTGGTGGGCGAGATAAAGGGCAAACACTTCTCTGGTATCCGCTGTTCATCTCCCCCTCCCTACCCACGAAGTCCACTTTCTGAGACACTCCATTCAGTTTCCTTCTGCGCTATGGGCTTCTCTGGGATACTGACCTACGATGAGGAAGGCAGCTGATTGTCTCCTGGAGTCCTTTCCAGAAGGGCAGGGTGGCTGAACCCTCCAGTGAGTGCACAGCTTGGTCTGCTGTCAAAGTGGAGGGGCTAGAAAAAGAGAGTTCCTTCCTTTTCCTCACCCTCCCCCAGCTCTGCAGCCTCTGGAAGGAGCCCTCTCCCGGGTGCAATCTCAGCCCTCCAGGACAGTTCTGTCTCATGTGAACTGGGACCTGATTCCCAAGGACGCACCGGCAACCAGGACCAGCAAGTCGGGCCCTCAAGGACCTTGGCCAGAGCCCAAACTTCTCTGCTGGTGAGGGCACAGCCCAAGCGTCTGTTTTAGATTTGACCACAGCCTTTCACAGGTCTGAGCGCTCTGTGATGTTCAAACACACACACACACACACACACACACACACACACACACACACACACATACACACACGTTCCATTTACTTTAGGCTCCTAAGGAAGGAGCTGCTGAGGAATTCTTGTGGAGCAGGTCACAGCCACCCCACCAACCTTGCCAAACCAAACTGTCTGCAAGGCCCAGAACCCCGGGAGGCAGGAAGGCACCCAGCGGCCCCTGGGGAAGCCAGGGCGTCGCGCTCCACCCGCCGGCAGCGCCCTGGGCGCACCGGGGACAGATCGAGACACCCCTGCCTCCCCGTGGGACCTCCCAGGGCACCTGCCCAAGGCCACCCAGCTTGCGGCGGCCCTGGCAGAGCCGGACCTCCCAGCGGTCGGTGGGGGCGGTGACCGCCCGAGGCCTTCCCACGGCTCGGTGGCGCGTCACCGCGGGGGCGAGGGGGCGCCGGGGCGCCGGGGGCGGTGGCGCAGGAAGGGCCCTGGGAAAGGGCGACGTGGGCGCCCCGGGGCGGGGCCGAGGCGGGGCGTGGCAGGGAGACGGAGCGCCGAACACCGACCGACCGAGACCTCGGCAACCTGCGCTGGCCATGAAGCGGCCCAGGGAGCACGGCGGCTCCGATGGCGAGTCCGACGGACCCATCGACTTGGGCACCGAGGGCGACCTGAGGTGAGGCCAGGGCGGGGCGCGCCTCGACCGGTTCCTGAGCCAGGACGCAGACCTCTGCGTTCCACCTGGCCCTCCGAAGGGGCGGGTGCTCGACAGCTCGCAGGTGCCCGCGGAAGGGTGTGTGGGGACGTGTGCAGCATGTCGCGGTGCACGATCCCGGGCGATTCCTGGGTGCTCTCGCCGGTGTAGGATCTGGATGTTGAGCTGAAGGTAAGGTTTGTTCAGCTCCAAGGTCTGATGGTAAGTTGGTGTTGGTCTTTCTGTTGCCGCCCTCCCCCTTAAAGGACACTGGTGAGTTTTCCTGAAGACCTTAGGTAACCCCTATAGATTGTTGGTGGCATACGCCACTTTCCCTAATGCACCCTAGTTCAGGTGCAGTTTACATGTAGTTAACAAAAAACTTAACAGGAAAGGAAACCTCTCCTCTTTTGAGCAAATTGGACTCTGGAAGTAGGGTTTGGGTATTGAAGTCAATACAGACTTGTAAGGGCCTAGACTCCAATTCCAGTGCTTTGTCTTCTAAAACAACTTTGTTGCCAGTGTTCTTCAGCTCTTGATAAATATTCTTTCTTCCTTCAAACCTGTCCAACAAACTGAACTCGTACAGTTCCCAACTCGGGCTCTGTGAATGCTAAGTTTCCTTATCTGCCAAATGGGTATAAACAATAGAAGTGATTTCCTAATAACATTAGGGAAATCCAATGAAAGCTTAGCAAATGCTTTAAGAGTGGCAGGGACTGACTGGGAGCCTGTCTGCAGGTGTGGATTCCAGCCCAGTCTGTGTCACCACACCCCATGTAGCCAGCCTTCCTTCCTTCTTTCCTTATTTCTTCCTCCTCCTCTTCCTTCTGGTGCCGAGGATGGAACCCAGAGCCCACACATACTAGACAAGAGCGCTACCACCATGTAGCCTAGAGCCGTTGGATTCTCTGAGTCTGAGCCTCCATATCAGTAAAATGTGAGAGGGTGGGTGTGGGAAGGGGAAAACTGTCTCATTTCTCTTTCCTCATTCAAATCCAGCTCTCTAGAACAAAATTGGAAGGAGATCAGGTGATCCCGGCTCAATCACAGATCTTCTCTGGGTATGTAGTTCAGTGGTAGGGCTTGCACAGGGCCCTGGTTTTGATGCTCAGCACTATATAAATAAATTCCAAATAAAATGTCACCAACTACCAGTTATTTGTAGCTTATCATAGGTAATAGGACAATAGGTATTCCTCTTACATCTTGTACCTTGTTTTGGGATACATAATATAATGTCCTATCATCAGATAAATCTTTTTTTCTTTTTTTTTCCGAGACAAGGTCTTACCATGTGCTGTGTAATTCAGGAGGCAGGGATTGAACTCACTATGTAGCCGAGGCTGGCCTCAACTTGCAGAGATTCTGCTGCCTCAGCCTCCCAAGTGTTGGGATTACAGGCATGCATCACCATGCCTGGTGAGAGATAAACCTTTTAAAAAATTGTTTAGCAGAAACTGCCATTGAGAAAAACAAGTCTCTGAGCCTGTGCTATTAGCAGGGCGCAGCACCGTGTGGTGGTATGGAGTTCAATGTCATCTGGCCTTCCTGGATCAAAGGCACAAAATCAATACCAGAGAACTAAGTCAATCAGAGCTGGTTTCTGTCCTTCGCCAGTTTGCAGCCTGGGAAGTGACTCTCAGGTCACACAAAGACTGCAGGAGAGAGCCAGATCGGGCTGTGAGTGCACCTAAATGGGAAGAGGTAAATACTACCGTATTTGGATACGGCAGCGAGGGTTTGTTGAAGGTGTCACTGCTAGAAAAAAAGTGGACAGTTTTTTTTCTTCTGCAGCATTTTGCCATTTTAAGCCAGAGTCCATTTTTGGAGACTGTTCTTAGAAGAGCAGACTCCTCAGAGGAGGGCAAGCAGCTGGACATCTGGCAGAGGCTGCCTTATAGATGCCTCTTTGTGGCTCTCCTGAAAGGGCCCTCCCCCTGCAGACATAAATGCTTCAATTCAGGGGCTGCTGAAGGACGCCTGCTGTGGCCCAGACCCTGAGCTGGCATCGGGACCCAGATGTATCCTGCTCAGCCTCTGCCCTCAGGGATCTCCCAGGGAAGAAGAGCTTTATGTACAAAGAAAGACACATGACAGTAGCAAGGGCCACAGGGTGGGGGCAGCCAGCTGCTGTGGGGTCAGAGGCACTGTGCAAGTGCCCCACACCCGGAGACATGAGGGCAGGAGCGGGCCGTGTTCCCTTGTCACTAGGGACGTCTGCTTGGTGCTCGCATCCTGCCCCATCTGTGAGAAATGCCCACAAAGCTCCTGTCTCAACCTGGCCCCCGATACATGTTGGGTCCAAACACAGTACAACCTCTCCTTTACTCATGTGCAAACCATAATCCTGACCCTGGTGAGCACCTGTCACATGCCAGACTCTGGATCAGGGTCTGGGTGTTTCCCATATGATTTAAGGCACGTGGTTACCTTTGATGTCAGATGTGAGTTTGGCTCTCTCCACCATTTTTATCTCTTTCCGGGCCTCAGTGTCCTTTCCTACAAGATGGGGATGTAAACATCTGCCTCCTAGGGTGAGATTTTGATGTTTTATCTCCATGAAGCATATAACTCTTTCTCTTGGCCCAAAGTAATTTCTAATACATGCTGTTTTCTAAGGAGTTGTGAGTGTGTGTGGGTGGGAGGATCAGGTGGTCTGAGGAAGTCTGAAGACTGGACTTACTGGGCACGTTCTTTTTCTTTTCTTTTCTTTTCTTTTTCTTTTTTTTTTTTTTTTTTTGAGACAGGGTCTTGCTAGGTCGTTCAGGCTTGAGTTCACTATGCAGCCCAGGCTGGCCTCAAACTTAGGGTGATCCTCCTACCTCAGCCTTCCAAGTGCTAGGATAATAGGCATGCACCACCACACCTGGCCAACTGAGCACATTCTTAACTCTTTGTGTTTGTCACCCATCTATAAAATGATTATTTTTTCCTAAAAATGAAATGGTCCAAATAATTCCTTTCAGGCCCATATGCAATGAATGAGAAATATCGAAGTGCCATTGGAAACAAAATACTGGATAAGAGATACGTATGATGGGATCATAAGCATTTGGGGTGTACTGGCAGGACCACTGCATAAAAGGCAGTAGCTCTGGTTCTACTCTGGGGTCTCCTCTCATTTAGCCTGAGGGACGTCCCATCTCATCTATGAATGTTCTCATTTGACAAATGGGCTTCGTGACCTTTGAGATCTGTTCAATTGGAACATTTAGGTTCCACCTTTGGTTGATGCCAAATGGGTGAGATAATCGACCAGGGTCCCATGGGGAAGTTCCCAGGTGGAGTCAGCACTGCGGGTATTCAGGATTGGCAGCCAGACCACTAGAAAACTATGTCACCCCCCAGAGACTGCCCTGAAATTCTGGCTGGGGCCCTGACAGAGGCCAATGGAGCAGGTCTTAGTGGTCACTATATCCTTTCGGATCCATGGAAATCTGCTTTATCTCAGACTGTTCAGGGAGAAGCTCCACCTCTCCTCCCATGGTCAGGGCCAGGTCGCAGGCTGGACTGAGCTCTGGTTAGGAGATGAGAAGGGGACTGGAGGACTATTCAGACAGGCAGGAAGTAGGATTTAGGAGGGGAAACAATGCTCAATTGGGAACCAGAAGCCATGGATTCCCGTGCTGGCTTTGCTTCTTAGTAGCTGCCTGGGCCAAGCAAGCTGTGTTAGCTCCCCGAGGCAGGGAACCCTCATCTGTGAAATGGGCCCTTATAAATCTCAGAAGTGAGACACACATGTAGTGGTGCTAAGAAAATTACCAAGTGAGAGTCGCCTGTGAGATATAAGAAAGACGTAGATGCTGCTGCTGAAAAAAACTGACCAGAAGGCTGAAGAAGGGAGCGCAGAGCTGCCTTGCCCTGAAGTGGGTGCGTCTGACAGATGGTCCCTGGGGAGGGATCAGGCTGAAGGCAGTGACGTTCACACGGATAACCCAACACCCCGAGAGGACCTTTATCCAGCAGTGGGAAACAAAGGCTGTGTTTCTTCATGTGCCTTAGCTCTTGGGGCTTGTCCCCAGTAAACCAGTGGAGCTTTGTAAACAAGATGCCCTACGGATCTCAGGATCTGGCTGTTTGCGCTCTGGACCTAATGCGCGGGGCCTTGCCTCCCAGGAACTTTCCCAGGTTTTTGCCAGCTTTGCTTGCCCAGATGTTTGGATTGAAGATAGCCTTTTCCAGATGTGGCCAGACCAAGACAGAGCACAGCAGTAGGAACCAACAAATGCAATCTGGTCTCTCCTACAACCTTCTGTCTTTGAGATGTTGATGAAAAGGATCCAACCTTGGACACAAAGAAGATATTTCAATAGGCTGGGACCCTCCCACTGAGCCACAGGTGTCCCCTTTCCTCCGAGATCTAGGATGTGGATTTTTTTTTTTTTTTTTTTTTAGTGCTTACATCTGTGTTCAGTGATGCTAAAGGCAAGAGCTGCAGGAAGATGCTCTGCCATGGCTCTACCATGCCCCAAGCACTTGCTGAGGACTGAAACTACGATGGTGAATGAAATGAACATGTCCCATGGCCTCATGGGGCCTGTGCATCTGCTGGAGAGATGTTCACTAATCAAATAATCATTTGAGTACAAAATAACAAACTGATATAAATGTAGTGAATGCAGAAGGCTAGAAGAATCCTCTTTTTTTTTTTTTTTTTTTTTGTCTTTTTCATTTTTATCAGTACCAAGGATCGAACTCACAACCACCTGCTTGCAAGGCAGGTGCTTATGCCGCTGAGCTAAATCCCCAGCCCTGCTAGGAGAGTCTTGAGCAGGGGACATCTTCTAGGAAGATAGATGTCTGAAAAGGCTTCCAGTGGAGGGGACATTCCGTTTGACATCTGCAGGGAAGCAGTATGTGGAACGGCAGGAAGGAGGTGATACACTCGAAGGTTAGAGCAGCACAGCCTTGAGTCTGAAAGGTGATGGGCCAGCTGGCCCACCAGAAAGATGGTGACCCAGACACACTGGGAAGCCACTGAGGAGTTTAAAGAATGACAAGACTGGGTTTGAATTTAAGTGACTGTGGCCTGCGGAGGGACCCAGCAAGAGGCTGTTGCAATCTGCTAGGTGAGAGATGACAGAAGTATGGTCTAGAGAGGACTCATGGACGTAAAAAGCACAGACATGAGAAGTATTTTACACACGCCCAAGTTTTGATGCCATGAGGGTGAGGACAAGAAAAATCAAAAACAGTGCCAGGGATCTGTTTTGCAGGACTGGACATTGGGGTCTCCTTCCCTGAGGCAGGGAATCCCAAGCATCTAGGAGCTGGTGTGGGGCTAAAGGCAAGCTCATGAGCTCCTGTTTAGATGCATGCCCTTTGGCACCCAAAATGGCATGGGAGGCATGTTGTCCAGTGCTGGAGCTCAGCACGGGGAGGGCCGGGTCCCTGGGGATAAACAGGGTTTCCCAAAGGCTGAGCCCCAAGAAGGGTACCCAAGAAGGGCTGGGCCCAAGAAGAGTGCCTTAGTGCTGCCTGGTGAGCCTCTACAAGTACCCCTTGAAGGGGCCAGCAGTGGAGCTGCAGATTATTTGGTCAAAATCTGGGCCGGAAACCCCAGGCTGAGCCTCTTCTCCGTGTGGGGACTCCTGGGTGGGTGCTCCTGCAGAGGTGGGAGGGAGGCCAAGGTTTCAGCTGGACCTTCTAAGAGGCAGGAGCAGGTCCCAGAGCGTGCGAGAGGGGCCTGTGACCCAGATGCGCCCCCGCGCCCCCGCCGCGCCGCGTGGGAGGAGGCAGCAGCTGCAGGCTGCCGGGTGGAGGGAGAGGGAGAGGGAGAGGGCGGCGCGCCGGCCCGTGGGAAGCTGCGGCATCTGCTCTTTCCACGCTCCTTCCTGGCGGCTCCCTGTGAAACCCAAGCCTCCCGGCCTGGCCTGGCCCGTGCCCTCCTCCGCCCGCCCCCCGGATCGGGTTGCAGAAGCCGAGGGCCGCAGCGGTTCGCGTCGCCCGCCCGGCCCGACGGACGGACACAGCCGCAGCGAGGGGCAGGGGCCAGGCGAGCAGGTCAGGTCCCAGCCCAGAGGGGACCCCGGAGAGCCGTGAGGCTGGGGAGGGAGGCTGGGGCGATAGAAGGATGTAGCCTTCGGAGGAAGGGTCCGGGGGGAAGGTGGGAGCAGGCACCCCTCCTGTGCCCGCCTTGGGGCGCAGTCCCCGGAGCCTGTGGGGCTGCAGGGATGGATGGTGCCTCCCACAACCCGGCCTCCCAGGTCAGTCTAGTCCAGGGATGTGGCTCTCAGCTCTGAGAAACCAGCCTTTCCCTTCCTCTCCAGCCAGATGGCCAGGCCGCTGTCCACTCCCAGCCCTTCGCAGATGCAAGCCAGGAAGAAACGCAGAGGGGTGAGTGTCTGAGTCCCCCGGGGCCTGGTCCGAAGCATCGCCCCAAACTGCCTATCTGATTAGGTTCAAATGACTGTGTGGAGGACAGGGCAAATCACTTAACCAGTCCGAGGCTTGATTCCTCCTTGGTGTGACTGGAGTAAAAACCAAACCTGCCCCAAACTGAAATGAATCAATGCAACGCTCTGAGTAACACCCAGCTCGCAACTGCCTTATTTATTACGTTGTTCCAGCCCCCCTCTCCTTCTGTCTCCTCTCTGATCCAGAACTTTCCTTTTGTCTAAGGAAGGGGAGGAAGACGGAAAGAGGCTCACTGCCTGCTGCTCTCCATCTTTTTTTCTTTTTGAGTTGTACTGGGGATTGAACCTAGCGCCTTCATATTAGCTACATCCCCAGCCATTTTTTATTTTTTATTTTGAAACAGGTTCTCTTTAAGTCACTAAATTGCCCAAACCGGGCTCAAACTTTCGATCCTCCTGCCTCAGCTTCCCAGAATGCTGGAATTACCCAGTTCCGTCACACCCAGTTGACCGCTACTGTGCCTTTTATCCAGCCTCCTCTTTCCCCCTAGCGCACTGTAAGTCCAGAGGCCCAGCACTTAGAAGAGCGCACGGCACTGCTGTGTGCTTGCCATCAGCCTTGGGCAGACATCGCCTCCCACCTTCTGCTGCCAGGGTGGGAGGGGGCAGGTGGTGTGAATGAAGCCTCTACAGCAGAGAGAGCCACACCTAGGACCTCAGACCCGCAGCTGGACCAGCGGGGGTCCCCAAGGCACATGCGGGTGCTGTGGCTGGTCTCTCCATTCTGATTGAGTGGTACCCTGCAGTACCAGTGGCTGGGTATTTTGAATATCATCCTTACAGTCCAAGACAAGAGATCCAAGTGCTTCTTCTAGTTCTGCACTTTTTTGCTGTGTGACTTGAGCACATTACTTATCCTTCTCTGAGCCTCAATTTCTTTTTCCCTTAAGTAAGAACAGATTTACTTCCCTCTTGAGAAAATATAATGTGGGAAAATGCAAGTTGGTGTCCAGCAGGGCACGCTGGGAAAGGACGGAGTACCTTGTGTAACTTTCTGTCGTTGTTTTCCAGATCATAGAGAAACGGCGCCGAGACCGTATCAACAGCAGCCTTTCTGAACTTCGGCACTTGGTGCCCACTGCCTTTGAGAAACAGGTATTGCCGACTGTGCCAGAGAGTCTTGAGTGGATGATAGATACGGCTCGTTTCTTGTGGCCTCTCTACTGACGGCAGTGGCTGCTGAGGTGCCCTGAACATTTATGAGCATCTGTCCCTGGTCGGGGACAAGGGGAATGGAAATTCATACTTAGGTGTCTCAGGTGTGGTGGCTTTGCGTCTGACGTGTGTCTATTTGAGCTGAATCCTAAATATGGTCCTGAAGTATAGAGATTCTGCCCCTTTCAGGAAAGGAAAATGAAACACAGAGACAGAAGTACTACACATGGTACTAAATCAGACAGCTAGTAAGTAGCAGAGCATCATTGGAGCACAGGACTGTGTGCATGTCCCCTGATGTTTCCAGAAATATTTGACAATGGGACAGGCTGCTCAGGGAATGGGCGCTCTATCATTGAATATGTTGGGGTGTGGAGACCACACTGAGGAGTCAATTGATTGAATTAGCCAGCCTCAGTGATTCTACCTCCGGGGTCTTTGTCATAGGATCAGCCATGGACTAGACCTGTTGTCCACCCTCAAGGGACTTGCTTGAAAAGTGTGGCTCTGAGGAAGTGTGGCTCTGGGAAGCCAGGTAGTCCTGAAGGTCTAGGAAACATTTCCTGAGAAAGACATAGAAATAGCATGTGCTTCAGGGCCGAGATGAACTAGGTCTCAGGACAGGCTGAGGATGGAGTTGGATTACCAGGGAAGCTGGTCCGGGAGGCAAGTGGGTGCTGGAGGATGAAACCACGGACATAGACAGAACACTTGGGGAGAACACACAGAGCAAGAAGAGGGGGGCCCAGCACTCACTGGGCAGCAGTGTTTTGAAGGAAGAGGAAGAGGCAAGCCAGAAGGAAAATAGGAGTGGCTGAGGGGGCAGTGCAGCGGACAGCTGGGCTGATCTGCACGTGCGGGAGGAAGGCAGGAATCCAGATGGCTCGGCGTGTGCCCACAGGCGGCGAGGTGAGCTGTAGCTATGGACACTCTGCCTCTGTTCCCACAGGGCTCGTCCAAGCTGGAGAAAGCTGAGGTCTTGCAGATGACAGTGGATCACTTGAAAATGCTCCACGCCACTGGAGGGACAGGTATGGATATTCCTCACTTTGGGGAATCATTTTTACAAAAGCATCTTGAAGGCTGGGCCTCCGGGATCCACAGGTGAGCGAGGCTGATGCGGTCCCTGCTCTGTGGGAGCTCACAGTCTCCAGAAGAGCAGAAGCAGGTCCAGGTGTGAAAGTTTGCCAAACTCTCTGATTTCAGCCGCTCTCTCTCTGTACTTGGAGTGTGGCCCTGGCCCCAACCCTTCCTCTGCCCAACTCATCCCAGTCTCAGGCTTACTTACGTGTGACAGACTGTTCCGTGAGCTACCCCAGGGCCTTATAAGAAATAGCCTGAACGAGCTCATTCTCACTGTCGTCCCAGCCCGTGTCCTCGAGAGGCCCAAGGCAGGACCTGCCTAAGATGTTAAGCCGCTGACATTTCTTTGGTGTCTCTATCCATTGGCCTAGACCCCTGTGCTACTGTGTCCAGGGCAGAGCTAGGAGGCATGTCATGCTCACGGCAGGGGTCAGGACTGTAGTGAAACACAATGTCACTCATTCCCTTTGTTGGTTTTTGTTTTTTGAGAGTCTCGCTGTATAGTCCAGGCTGGCCTTGAGTTCGCTGTGTAGCCCAGGCTGGTCTCAAACTCACAGTGATCCTCCTACTTCACCCTCCCAATTACACCCTCCCAATCACAATCCCATGCTGGGATTACAGGCATGTGTCAGCACACCAGGCATCAGTCCATTATTTTAAGCTAGTCCTTTACATTCAAATCATGGACTTGTGACTGTGTGTGGTGGCACATGTTGGTAATCCCAGCACTCTGGAGGCTGAGACTGGAGGAGCGCTATGAGTTTAAGGCCAGCCTGGGCTACATAAGCAAGTTCAAAGCCAGCCTACATCACATTGCAAGACCCTATCTCAAAGTTTTTTTTAATTAAAATAAATAAAAATTTCAACAAAATCATGGAATTGTGGGTTTAGAAAAGACTTCCAGACAAATGGAAAATGTCATGAAGCTTCTCTGTGTGTTTGATGATTTTATAGTTGGGGAATCTTGAAAGTTCCACAGACCATGGCCACGAAGGTAGACTGCTTTTTGGAGGGTGGGGGACAGGGTCCCTCTATATAGTTCAGGCTGGCCTTGAACTCGCTGCTTAGCCTGAGCTGACCTTGAACTTGCTTCGGTCCTCTGCCTCAGCCTTCCGATTGCTGGGATCACAGGCATGGGTCACCACACCTCGCACTTGCCACTTTCTGAAGCAGCTCTGGAAGTCTTTTTTTGTAAGTATTTTTAATTGTGCTGCTGTGACTGTCGCAGTGTCCTGAAATGTTTCAAAACGTTTGGCTTTCATGATCATTTGACTGCTGGAGAGCCTGAAGTCACACAGTACCAGATCTGGTTAGTGAGGTAGGTGGATAAAGACGCACTGTGATTTTTTATGTGCCTGCCTTTCCATTGGATGGCACATGACAGCAGCGTTGCCTGTATTTTTTTTATCACACCTTGTAAAAACACGAAAGACTTCTACAACTAACTCAGAAAGTGGCAAGAATGATGGAATGAGTGGGTTTGAAGCAAGGGGCAGTATTTTGAGGGAGATTAATGGCAATATGTTGTTTACTATAATAAATTTTTAAAATTTCAATTTCAAACTGGGCAAGGTGGTACACACCTATAATCCCAGCACTCAGAAGGCTGAGACAGGCGGATCACCATGTGTTTGGGACCAACCTGGGCTACATATGAGCTCAAGGCCAGCATGCACTGCATAGCAAGACCCTACCTCAAAATAAAACAAAACAAAAATTCAACTTCACAGTTTTTGTTTTTGTTTTGTGACAAGGTCTTGCTGGGTAATACAGGCTAACCTCAAACTCACAGGAATCCTCCTGCTTCAGCCTCCTGAGAACTGGGATTACAGATGAGTGCCACCATGTTTGGCAGCTTCACTGTAGTTTTGATCCACCCTTATAAGTCCCCAAAACAATGTTCTATCACAGAAAAAGACAGTTGTATTTTGAGAGGCCTAACCTGGTGTTTCTCAAGCCTTAGCATGCAGCCGTGTCACTGGGGGCAGGCACAACTGTGGCCATCAACCCCTCCCACCCCAAGCTAAGGCAGTAGGTCTGGCTTTGAGTTTAGGCATCGACAGTGTGTCAAGCCTTCCTGAGAACCTTGGTGTAGCTCACTCTTATGAGACCCTCCTCAGAAGGAGTGTATCTGTAGCTGATGTCTAAGCATCCAGAGGAGCCATATTTGAAATGGCATTCATGCTTACCGTATTGAAAGCAGTGATTAATGTATGGGCAGCATTTTACAGCTTTCAAAATGCTTCTGTTTATGTTACATCCTTTGACTCCCATGAGAACTTGGAAGTGAGATCGTTCTCATTACTGTTATCTGGCTCGAGAGTGGTAGGAGGATAAGAAATTGCCGCTAAGAAGAGCACAGAGTGTGGATTCAAGTCCCGGCTATACCAATGCAATCGCAAGCAGAAATACTGAAAGATACCCAGGATTTGGAGGCAGATTAATGTATGTCAACAGGCGCTGATCAGGATCATTCCCAAGGTATCAGGCCCGATCTCTAGTAGTTTAGGGCTTTTATATAATGCATAGGTGGAGGGACAGAGGAGATGCAATGGAGGCACAGAACAGCCTGGCAGTTCTTCTGATTAGCTGGCAGGGTGGGACCATCAGCTCCAAGGGTAGATTAATGATCATCGGCCCGTGAAGCTTGGCACAATGCTTGGCATTTTGTATGTTTGGTTACGCCCTGGTGGTTACAGGGATCAGGAAAGTAATTACAAAGCCATGAAGCAGGTACAGAGCTAAACAGTTTCAGGAGAACAAAGTTTTAAAAAGAACAATTCTTCTTGTACAGTTTTCCCTTTCATTGGCTTTATGACCTTAGACAAATGATTTAAAATCTGTTCCTCAGCTGTCTCATTCTAAAATGGGAATAGCTGGGCATGGTACCACACACCTGTAGCCCCAGTGCTTGGGAGGCTGAGGCAGGCGGATCACTGCCAAGTTCAAGGCTACCCTGAGCTGCATAATGAGATCCTGTCTCAAAAAGCCAAAAATAAATTAATTAAATAAAATAGGAATAGGAAAGGAGTTTTTTGAGAATTAAATTAAATAATGTAATGAAGTTGTTAGTAAATACTTAGCAAGTGTTTAAATGGAGCATTAGGCAGGGTATGGTAGCACACAGCTATAATCCTAGCACTCTGGTAGGCTGAGGCAGGAGGATAAATAATTTTAGACCAGCCTGGGCAAGTTACTAATTTAACCAGACCCTTTCTCAAAATAAAAAATAAAAGTCAAGTGTGGTAGCATATACCTGTAACCCAAGCCCTTGGAAGGCTGAGGCAGGAGAATTATGAGTTCAAAACCAGCCTGGGCTATATAGGGAGTTCAAGGCCACCCTGAATGACATAGCAAGACCCTGTCTCAAAAGAAGGGGTAGGTGTGAGGATACAGCTCCATGCAAAAGCCCCGGGTTAAATCCCCATTACAAAAATAAAATGAGTACCAAACACTGAAAGGTAAAGGGATTTATGCACACTAGCACAGCTAAGTATGCAGCAAGCCAGGTCTCATCTGAAAGTTGGCCTGACTCCAAATATAGCTGTCCCCTGGGAGACCTCAGCCTTGAACCAGGGACCAGTTTCTGCTGCCTCCGTGCGGCCTGGGCCTGTTTGCCCAGAAACAGTCCAAGCAGGAGCAGGTGTGTAGAGGCAGTGAGTGTCAGTGCCTGTGTAATGGCCACTTGGTCCCTCGTTGATACCAAACCAAAGAGGGGTTGCTGGCCAGGTGGCAGCAGCCGAGGACCAGGGAGCAGTCTTGCATCCCAGGCTGGTTTTGGAACCAGGAGGAAAATCAGGTGCAAAGAAGGGCTTGGCAATAATAGAAGCAATGACTTTCTCTTTGCTCACGGAGCATTTTCTATGCACTGCTTCATTTCACCTTCACAGCTCTGCCCAGTGTGTACTGTCATCTCCCCATTCCATAGCCAAGTAAACAGAGGTGTACAGAGATGCAGAGACTTGCCCACTGTCAGCCTGTGGTTAAGTTGTAAGGATTTGAACCTAGTTTCCAGAGGCCTCATGCTTCGCTGCTACCCAGCCCTGCTGTCTCCAAGGGGCTTCCAAGCTCTCGTGGCCACTGTTACTGCCTCCCCTACCCAAGGCTGCTCCCATTGGCAGGCGGGGTTTACTCTACACCTGCACATGCACGGCCTGTTCGCCCCAGTCAGTGTCTACTGAATGAAGTTGTCTTGGCCATCAAGTTTGTTCTTTGCATGGATTGCGCATTCTGATGAAAACCATACATTTTGTATAGTTCCAAGTTCATAGTCAGTGAACTCATTTGATTCTCATAATTTACTATCCTCTATCCCAGGTAGGAATTTTTATTCCTATTTTACGCATGGGAAGACTGAGCCTCAGAGAGGTGCAGGGACACAGACAAGGTCACTGAGTGAGTGGGAGGGGCAAGTCCAAAGTGCAGACCATCTGGCCCAAGCCCTAGGCTTCTCCCAGCTCAGCATCCCCTCATAATGCCTCGCTTTGCAGGATTCTTGGATGCCCGAGCCCTCGCAGTTGACTTCCGGAGCATTGGTTTTCGGGAATGCCTCACGGAAGTCATCAGGTACCTGGGGGTCCTGGAAGGACCCAGCAGCCGTGCAGACCCTGTCCGGATTCGTCTTCTCTCCCACCTGAACAGCTACGCAGCTGAGATGGAGCCTTCGCCCATACCCACCAGCCCCCTGGTCTTGCCTGCGTGGCCCTGGTCCTTCTTCCATAGCTGCCCGGGGCTGCCAACCCTGAGCCATCAGCTCGCCATTCTGGGGAGAGTGCCCAGCCCGGTGGTCCCCAGTGCCTCCCCTCTTGCTTACCCCATCCCAGCCCTCAGAACCGCACCCATGCGCAGAGCTTCTGGCTCTATCCTGCCCACACGAAGGAGTCTGCTGCCCAGTCGGGGAGCCCCTTCCATCCTCAGGGACCGGCCCCTTGAAAGGCCAGTGGCCCCCCTCCATGTGGCCCCCAGCAGCAGGGCTGCCAGGAGCAGCCACCTCCTTCCCCTCCTGCGGTCTTCCTCCCCTGCAGACCCCAGTGCTGTGGGGAGCCCAGCTAACGCGGCTGTGCCAGTCTCCAGTGCATCCTCTGCAGTGCCAGCCGGGAGACCTTCGGGAGCTGTGCTCTGCCGCTCCTGGGCCTCTGAAATCACTGAAATTGGTGCCTTCTGAGCTACCCCTCGCATCCGCAGGAGCAAGGAAACTCTAAAAATTGTCACTGTCTTTTTTGCTTTTGCTCTACAGACAGGGGCCTCCATAAAGGGTCTTCACCCATCAGAGGTCCCTTCCTCCTCCTCTATGCTGACCCAGTTGTCCCCCTGGCTCCTCTCCCCTAGAGTGGTTCTGATTCCAGATGTTTGGTCTCATTTCTCACCTGAGCGATGAGTCATGGGCCTCATGAGCCCCTGAGAGCCATGCCCAGACCTCTCTTCCACCCAGGATGTGTGATCTTAGATCCGGGGCAAAAGCTTTAGTGTAAAAGGATGCCAGATCGCCTCCTGTCCTGGAGACAGTAACTGAGAAGGGCCACCAGTGAGTTTCTTGGGCATCCTGCCTGCCCCCTCCCACCTGTCTTTGGCCACCCCATCATGGCGAGGCACAGGACAGACCCATTCTCCGCTGCAGCCAAAGCCTGGGTGCTGGGGGCCCAGCAGGACCTGCTGCTGCTCTCCTGCTGGTGAGGATGTGCACCCTCCTGCAGGCCAGCAGACCCCTGCCCACAGCCGGCTTCCCCAGGAAGGCTGGAAGGTTTCACAGAGCTCTGTGACAAGGTACCTTCATGACCGCCAGGCCATTTGTGACAGCACTGCCTTGCAGAAGCCAGCATGAGCAAGCGAATACCCCAATCCCTGCCTCTGGCAGTCACTGTCCTCTCTGCGTGTGGTCCTGCCCCATGGGGTGCACAGTGCGAGCACCACGGCCCCTGTGGGCATCCTCTTGGGGTTCAGCACCAGATGCCTGAGCTGTCTGCTTCGCGTCAGCTTGCAGAGTCTAGACTGTTGCCACGGCCAACGGCTGTTCAAGCTGGACAAAAATAACTGCGAGGAGGGGCAGGAGGAAGAAGAATCGAAGGCGGCTGGCCCTTCAAGGTCACACAGAGGGTCAAGGGCCTGAGATCCTGTTCACCCAGAGGCTGCACCCTGGCTCTGCTCAGAGGCCGTTTCATTCCACAGCTCTGCCTTAGGCCATTCTCCTCTAATGGAAGAACAAAGGGCCTGGTGTCCATGCCCAGTGGAACAGCAGAGACTGGAGAGACATTCAGGGTTGCCACATTAGTTGACATAGTGCAGAAACATTTCTGTACTCGGAAAAACCTCCCCCTGCCTCCCACCCAGTGCCTCTGAGTGCCCCGGGCACTGGACATTTTCCCAGGACCACCACCATCTGGCTTACCTAGGTTTCAAGCCCTAGGCTTTGGGGTTCCCCAGCTGACCACTCATTAGTGCTCATGCCACACTGGTTATTAAATACTTTCCATGTCTCTGATCCAAGACTCTTGGACTTCTGTCCTTTGAGGGGACCCGCCTTCCTCAGAGGCTACAGCACAAAAGTAGAGTTTGCAAAAGCCCTGGGCCAAAAGGCCCTTTCAGGGAAGTGAGGCCAAGGGCAGAGGTTATTGGAGTGATCCAGAGAGCTCTTTTCAAAAGCAGGTTGCTCAGGAAGGGACATAAAAAGGTAAGTATACCTTTCATTTCTTAGTGAGGACAGCCAGCTTGGTCAGTTTGCTGACCCATCTGAGCTGGGCGACAGCAAGGCAAGAAGGACTAGATGTGGAGAGGGGATTCTGGCAGGGGCTGCACCTGAGGGGCGAGAGGACAGCACAATCATGCAGGCTTCCAGGAGCTGAGAGGGGACAGGGAATGACAGGAGGCAGAACTAGACTCCCTTTTTTCATGAAGGAGAGGACATCTGAGTCCTCCCCATCCTGGTCCTCCCTCTCCTCCTCCTCCTCCCTGAGGCCCAGCTGTTCCCAGAAACCCACAATGCCCTGCAATCCTTCACGTTAGTGACCTAGCCTGAGAGCCCAGCAAGGCTGTGGGAAATACAGTTCTATGCTGTGGGTACTCGACTGGCTGCAGACACCATTGAACAGAGTTGGAAAATGGTCCGGCACTTTCAGCATTTGGTTGGTCTCAGGTTGGTTCTGCTGAGAACTTCTGAAAGGTGACTGTGTGTTCATCCCCACAGATGGGGACTTGGGGTCTGTGTTTCTCCAGTTCTCAAACCTTCCTGGTACCCTGACTCTCCCACCCCACAGTGTTGCAGTCAATAAAGACTTAGTTCTGGAAACCCCCAGTAAATTCTACTTAAAAGTCTTGGGAGTCCATCCACATGCAGGTCCACAGCCATCATGGTGACCTGGTCACATCTGTTCTCCCCCAGACCACTGTGGCAGCCTCTGCCAGCTCGAGCTTCACCTCTTAGTCAGTCGGTTCTTTGCCCCCACAGAGAAGCTGAAGCATGCGGATCACATCATATCACATCTTCCTCTGTTACCCTGTCATCTTAGAGATAAAATCCAAGCTTCTCCTCTTTAGTTCCCAGCCCGCCTTCAAGCCTCATTTCCCTCCAGGCCCAAACTTGCACTGCCCCTTCTGCCCCCTGGCCCACCCCCTTGCCCTTAGTTCCTCAGCGTTCCAACCTGGCTCCTGGGAATATGCCGCTCCCTTTGCAGAACTCTCTCCCGGTCCTGTCCATGGCTCCCATCTCCGAACCCCGAGGCCTTGGCTTCCAGTGCTTCCTCTTTAGATTCCTTCCCTGACCACTGTATTTGAATAGTCTTGAAAGTCCTCAGTGGTTCCCTCCAGGTCTCGGGGAGTTTGCCATGCTGCTCCTACTTGTGTGTTTGCACCTTGGCCAGCTGCTCCCACCCCCTAGAGGGCCAGCTCTTCGAGGCCGAGGACCACTCTTCTCCTCTATCCACTCTGTACCCAGCACCAATCATAGCGCCAGGCTCAGCATCAGTGTCCAGTGCGTCTTTGTGGAATAAATAAACTGAAGAGGTGAGACGCCTTCTGAGCTCACATTGTGGGTGCTGCAAACCCTTCCAGGAGGAGGAAGTTGGAGAACAAAGAGGCAGCCAGGGCCAAGGGACTGGATGTTCTCTCAGAGTGGCCCAAGGAGGCACAAGCGAGTCCACCTTGGTTTAGCTTGGCTTGGCCTGGGTGGGTTCAGCTCCCGGCAGATCCAGCAAATCCAGATCCAGGCCTAGTATAGGTGGAGGTGACAAGGACACTGTCGCCCTGAGAAGCACCAGCAGGGAGAGGGGCGTGAAGAAGGCCCTCAGTAGTGAGTCTGAGCACTGAAGTCACACTGCATTACCAAGTACTTGTTCCTGAGCTGTGGCCTTGAGCAAGCTCCTTAATCACCTCGAACTTCAACTTTCACATCTGTAAAATGGGAGGCTGCAGTAATGACTGCTGCTGATTGAGCAGTAGCTGTATCAGATGGTGCCATGGGGCTTTATTGGGATGCTCCCCTTCCACAGATGAGAAAACTGACCCAAGGCTTGCTGTCCTTCAGGTGTGAAGCAAGTGACATGACACCCACAAAAGCCCAGGTATTGCAGTGCCCGGTGGTGTGATGTAGTCAGCCTTCCCCATTTGTGTTATTCATGGGAGGAGGCTGGATGCAAACTGTGAACATCTCAAGGGTGCTGCGCCACACATCCCAGGTTTCAGCCCAAAAGGTTGTTTCCTGTGAGTGCTAAGCTCGGGCCTTAAGAAACTCATGCTCAGGGACGTGGGGGTGGCTGGGCAGCAGTAATATGTGTATTGCGCTTTATCTGTTCACTGGAAACATCCAGATGCTTTCAGGCAGGACCACGGCCCAGCTGGGCTGGCAGCACACACCTTGTTATCCTAGCGCTGGGGAAGCTGAGGCAGGAGGATTGCTGCAAGTTCTAGGTCAGGCTGGCTACACAGTGAGTTCAAGACCAGCCTGAACTGCATAGTGAGATCCTATCTCAAAACAGATACACACACTACTGCACTGGCCTCAAAAATTAAGATTTTACTGATCTGGGCAGAGCTCAGGAATCTCATTAGGAGGTGTAATGAGAAGACAGGATTTTGTTCCTAGGCAGGTGGATTTCTATTCAGTAGATGAATTCCAGTTTAGGAGCCTACAAAGACTGATGCTTTCTGAGACACAGTTTCCACAAGGGCATCTCTGTCTCCTGGCTCCTCTCCTCGTCCCTTGCACATAGTAGGTGACTGATAAAACCTGCTGTGCTGCAAAGGTTTTAGTTTGATTTGTCTCCCCCTTCCCAGGGCTCCCTCGTGATGGAAGACTTGGTCCACAGGGTGGTTCTGTCGGGAGGTGATGGCATCTTCAACTTGGACCGGGGAGTGGGAGTCGCTGGAGGGGACTGTGCCAGGCTCCTTCTGAGGGCTCCTCCTACACTCCTGCCATATTTCACACCATCCCCGTCCTCGCCAGAGGCCAAATCAACACCCCCGCCCCTGCCACTTCTAGATCTTGGGCCTCAAACCTTCAAAATGTGAAGTAAACCAGCACTTCTTCCTAAGTAGCTTGGGTAGGTCGTTCATTTCAGGGACACAAAGCTAACAAACACATGAAGCTAAGCCCAGGGGGCTTGGAACATACGATTTAGGAGACACGGAGTGTTATGGCTTTGTGCAAAACTCGAGACCTTAGTTTCCTTCCCTTCTTTCTGGGGAAAGCAGACAGGAGAAATCAGCTGGTCCAAACATAAAAATAAGCCGCTTTGTTTTGTTTTTGGAGACAGGATCTATGGAGTTCAGACTGGCCCTGAACTTGCAGCAATCATCCTGCCTCCATCCTGCCTCAGCCTCCTGAGTGTACCCCATATCTACACACTTGTTACTGCAACAGCCTTGTCCAGATCAAACCTTACTAATCAGGTTGGCGTAGGACATAAAACCCTTGGCTTCTCGGGACTAACTGGTGAGAAAGGAGGTCTGTTTAGCTTTCACACCAGACTGTTAATAGGTACAGACTTGGGCATCTCCAAGCCTGTGGGCCAGAGTTTCTGGCTCAGTACAGTGACCAGAGTTATGGGTGTCACCTACACTGCCGCAGGCACTGGGAAGCTCAGGGTGGCTGGAAAAGAGGCTGCAGCGGGCTCCCTAAGACACAGCCCAGTGCTTGGGACACTGAGGGAGGAGCCTATCGGCCTCCCTGTGTGGCCGGAGGTGAGGGCCTGCTCACAGCTGCCAAAAGTGATGCATCCACGAATCCTGATATCCGGACCTGGGTATCAATAGCCAGTGTCCCAGAGGCGTCCCAAAGGGACACAGCCATGCCTGCTGCCCTCCCAGGCTCACAGGTCTTCCTGTCTTCTCGGCCTCAGGAAAGAGTGAGGCAGTACATCAGTTGGTCAAGGGCAAAAACCCTGGCGTTGCCTCTGATGTCCCTCATTCTCACCTGGCCCACATCTCCTCTGCTGGCAAATCTCACCCATTCTGCCTGCAGCAGATACTGGAGTCTCTGCCCCTCACACACCCACTCTGCCTGTGCTCTGCCTCCTCCTGGGTTCCCTATTCCCCCACTCCACCATCTGTCTCCTCATGCCGGCCCCAGGGCCTTTGAACACAGAGCAGCAGCTGAGGCCACCCACTGGCTCAGATCCCTCCAATGACTGCTCCCCAGGCTGTGTGAAGGCAGAGCCTTCTGGGTATCCCAACCCCACCCCATCCTTGCCTCTACCCCAACTCTCAGACCTGGCCCATCCTGTGCTTCCTTCCCAGCCCCATCTTTTTGCCTCCTCTTAAAGGGGGCACAGTCTCCTCTCAGGGGCTTGGCCCTCTCCCCACCCACAGGCTCTGTTCCCAGAAATCCACGCAGCTCACAGATCCACATGGCTGTCACCCACATCTCCTTTGGGTTGTTTCTGAGACACTGTCCTACTATGTAGCCCAGGCTGTTCTCAAACATGTGGCCTTCCTGCCTCAGCCTCTGAAGTGCTAGGGTTATGGGTGTAGATCCCTGCCCTACTCTTCCTGGAGTTTTGATCGAGGTCTCACAGGGCAGCCTTCTCCAACAACGCCATTTGGAAGGCAGGGATCCTCCAGCCTCAGCCTCCTGTGCCCTTCCACCCTCTCCTTTGGCCGTCTGCATGCTCATACCACGCCACACACTGCGTTGGTCTGATGGGGTGCTGCTGCTCTCCCCCTGGAACATCGCCGGAGGCTGGGATTTCTCTGGGCCGTTGTTATTCCTGGCACCTAGTGCTGGTATCCAATACAGTGATAATACACAGTAGGAATGTATCACATGTCATTAATTAATGAGTAGTAAACACTGCTTGTGCACATGATGGCTTGATTTTGTTTGTTTTGTTTTGTTTTTGAGACAGGGTCTCCCTGTGCAGTTCAGGCTGATCTTGAACTCATGATGGTCCTTCTGCCTCAGCCTCCTGAGTACTGATGTTATATATGTGCATCATCATAGCTGGCTGGAGCCAGAATTTTAGCCCAGAAGATCTGACTCCAGGAAACAAA